GCAGGTCGTCGGGCTACCGAAGCGGGGGTGCCATCCCCTCCGCAGAGGATCAAAATTGTGATGGCATGTCTTCGGATCATCCTACGGGATGTTTCCCAGACCGTCGCCAATAGCCCATTGTGCAGGTCTAGCGCGACGCAAATTAACAACAACAACAACAGCATGCGTAAAAATAAATAATTCCTCTTTTGATTCAATATGCTCTTGTAGTTGTCTCTATTTTAAAGAACTGGTCGTATGAAGTAGAATTTTAGTTACGTTGCACTAGAGCCACACAATGGCTATAAGAACCGATACCGCACATCTTCGGTTCCTTCACCCGCTGATCATGGTGGTTAACCACCTATTCACAAATATGCGTGGTTCCGGTGATCTACCCAAAAGTGTGTCTTATGATCACTATAGGACCGAGCTGCAACAGATGAAGTCGTAAGATGCCGTTTAAGAGTCTCTGTGCTTACAATTTATTATCTAATGGAAGGTCTCGGTATAGTTAAGGTCGTGGAGTGGACTGATCGTTAAGATACGGTTCCCAGCAGATCACCGGAGTCATGCATCTCTGTTGCGGTCAGTGTATGGGTGTGTGATCACTTAGATCAGTCTGCATAGAGACCGAGGGTGTGCGGTATTGGTCATCGTTAAACTGTTCTACCGTAAAGAGCTCGACTTCGCCTGCAGGTCTTCGGGCTAACGAAGCGGAGTGCCATCCCCTCTGTAGAGGATCAAAATTGTGATGGCATGTCTTCGTATCATTCTCGGGGATGTTTCCCAGACAGTCACTGATAGCCCATTGTTCAGCTCTAGTGCAACGTAAATGAACTACTACTACAACAACAACTGTATAGAAAAGAGACTAAGGTACCGAACTGAAAGAGAAAACTTTAAAAGTTCGCTTCTCAAAGAATATGGGTAACCAAAAACCTTATCGTTAACAAGAAAACAGCATAAGGCACTTTACTAAAGTTTAACTTCCCCTGGATTTTAAAGAAATTTGTAATGTATTCGCGTATGAGCTCTAAGGCTTTTTAACACGAACTAGCCTTTTAGGAACACGAACCTGAGTAGTCTTTGGCTTAAGCCATGAAATTAAGATTTTAAACTGCGACACTCAAATCGGACTGTGGAGTATTTGAGCATTATGTAACTACTTAAATCATTAAAGCAATTCAGCTCTAACAAGCAAATGAAGAAAAAATAATTTAATTAAGTTGGAACTAATGCCAATAAGAAAAAAAAACCTTTCACACAAACAATTTGTAAGTTGGAGGTAGCAGGATTGATTCCAACAGTTAACATAATACAACAATAATTTTTTTATGTTTTATTCCGATCATGTTTACCTTGTGTGGAACTCATTTTAATCTTGTACTTACCAGCTTCGGAACCAAAAAGTCCATGCATTACCTTTATCCGTTTTTTTAATGCCCTTCATTTATTACTGTACAATAAGATAATAGTCTAATAAGTGTTGCGCAAATATTTATTTTGTCTAAAAATTTAGTAGGTTAGACCTAAAAGAAACTTTAAGCCATAGTAACATGGATTAATCCTAAAAAATCTATTGCCATTTTCGAGCTAAATATTAATATTGTTGGATTGTTGTTGTTGTTGTTGTAGTTCATGTACGTCGCACTGGAGCTGCATAATGGGTTCTTGGCGACATTCGGGAAACATCCCTAGGGATAATCCGAAGACATGCCATCACAATTTTGATCCTCTGCAGAGGGGATGGCGCCCCCGCTTCGGTAGCCCGATGACCTGCACGCGACACATGTCGAGTACTTTATGATAGAAGAGTTTAACGATACCGCATACCCTCGGTCCCTATGCAGACTTATCCAAGTGGTCACCCACCCGCACACTGACCGCAGAAAGTGATACCTGACTTCCGTGATCTGCTGGCAATCGTGTCTTAACGCTCAGTCCACTGCGAGACCTTAATATTCTTGGAAAGGATAGTACCGAGATAAGTGGTAGTATTTTGCTTGCGTCACCCTAGAGAGCTGCACAAAAGGCTATTGGTGATTGACTGGGAAACATCCCTGAAGATGATTCGGTGACATGCCATCATGATATTGATTTTTCGCAGAGAAGATGTCTTCCCCACTTTGCTAGCCAACCGTCTTGCACTTGAAATCTAGTCCTCTATTATATTTTATTTTATAACCGTAGTTGAACAGCTGACTCACGGCAGTTTAGATTGCTTGTAC